TTCATACATCATTTCAACATTCCTGGTATCACTGGATGCAATCATTTGGGTGATGGTGGAGGGCCTCCTAACTGTAGATATGTACTATTCACGTAACGCAGAGTTCGCTCTTTCGATTGTTAGCTCAACGACCTTGGACGCATAGTTGATTTTGAAAATAGCCGAAACATAATCATGCCACGAGACTTCAATGCACATTGTATGTCATGGTGTAATACCCACGTAAGCAACTAGGAAGGACTAGGCGGCGTCAAATAACCCATATATAATCAACTCATTCAGGCGAAGGTGCTCGTCGTACGCCATCGATCTCTCACTTAGCTTTAGCAACAGCCTTCTACCTCCAAGAGCGGGGTAAACAGTTTGACAGGAAGTGAAGAACCTTTTTTGATTGCTTCTACATAAAATGCAGCCTTAGTAGCCGCTCTAAGAAATCGCTGGCAACTTTTCGCCCTAATACAAACATTGACCCAGATAAACTATCGGAGATCAAAGCTAGTATAAGTAGACCCACACTGGGCTCGGCCTCACAAAATTTGTTGACGATGCTAAATAACCCAAAAAAGGAGTATAGAAAAGTTAGTGCGCACCTTAGAAAGTCCTCTAACAAATACTGGTAGAATTCTGATATGGAAGCGAAATTGAGGCAGTGCATCTATTTGAGGGTATCCTTAACAGATAAATTAATATGCTTACTTAACGCGATCGACAAAATGACAAAAAATATTAGTGCTAGCAAAATGCTAAAAGAAAATGACGTCAAACATCCTATCTCAGATGACCTGTTTAAGTCTATGAAAAGTGCATTAGCGGCGTTTGAAATTTAAAACGTGTTCAGTTCCATATCCTTGGGGATAATAATAAAAAAAGTACCTGCAACCGTATGTACAAAGTGTCATAGCGAGTTAACTAAATAATAAATAGATAGTGTACGGCAGGACCGCGTATCGCATATCAAGAGATCCACTTCAGGCTTCAGGACGTTGGGCCATCTTTTCTGGAGTATAGGGTACGATGGCGTCCTGCAGCAAGATTACCTAGGATCGACCAGACTTGTAGCACTTGTTGATGGCCTAGCAGCAGTTGTAATGAGAAAAGCCACTAAGGATCTGCAATCCAACATTAATGATGCCTGCGACTTAGTCAATATATGGATTACACTCTTTAGTCTTGAACTAGCCCCGGAAAACTCAAAGCTGGCAGTACTCAGTAGACGAAGCAGAGCAGGCGATGGATGTAAGCCTTAAGACGCATGGCCACAGAGTTCTACCAAAGGACATTATAAAATACCTGCGCACCATTTTAGATTAAGGCTAAACGGAAGAAGACATGTTGATTATGTTAATAATAAAAATAAAACCTTCCAGATGACTAACTACCTAGCGAGGATCTTGTTTAACACGAACGGATCGAAGGTTTTTGCATCAGTGGCGGATTCCGTGGTTCTCTAGGTAGTACACATGTGAGGGACAGCTCTTCGCAAAATAATCACCTAACTAGATTTAAAAGGGTTGAAAGACCAATAGCTATACGGATAGGTAAAGCGTTCAGAACTGCCTCTTGCGACGACCGCCAGACTGGTCCGGTGGAATCTGCCGCACAGGAAAAAATAGCAAAATATCTGAATAGGCAAGTAAAAAAAAAAGATAAAAACCGTTACGACAGGAAAATGGCAGAAAATATCATACGAAAACTGATCAAAGATAGCGTGGATCACAAAGAGGCAGGGTCAACTAGCGTCTGGCCTGATGCAAATGCTCAGCGGCTATGATTTCTTCGGTAAATACCAAAGTAACATTAGAAAGTCACCAGACGCACGTACTGGACACAAAACGAAAGTGGGAATCTTTCCTACAATCGATTATTGAGTCTCTGCAATTTTGGAAACCGAAGAAAACTAGGTAAAAATGAGCTAGTTTGTTGATGATGTTCTCAAATGAAAGGATTAAACAAGCGCCGTGGGATGAGCCCTTTCTGTCTGCAGGGGTGAACGCTTATGCGTGGCCAACCTTGGTTTTTCGATCGTCCATGCCTCGTGCCGATACCTCACATTGGCGTAGGCTCTTTGTAGGGAACGATTCTAGTGTGTCACCTAACCGAGCCACACACACACGAGGAAGCATTTCTACTACCAGGAACATACACAAAAAATGTCCTCGTTGTCAACAGCGACTCATATACGCTTGCGTTTGAAAAAAATTCAGTAACCTTACTGACGTAATGCACAAAATAGAATTATCGGCACATGGATTATATTGCGAATGGTTCATCAATCAGAATTTACTACGGATAATTAATTATACCAAAAATTGTGCACAACCACGATAGACTATGCGGTCAGGTTAGCTTTGACGAACGATGCGCACATTGTTATTGAGCAGCTTCACACTACGCGACCCAATTTTATATGAATCTGTTTGACCTACCTATCTTGCCCGTAAATGACAAAAAAGGGTCGGATTCTCTAACCATAATCACAGCCCTCTCCAGGAAGAAATCAGTTTTAACTGAATTGATTGACTTCCTTTGAGAAATTCTTAATAACCAATATAGCTTCGCCTCTAGGTCATACAAGCCCAGCTTCTGGAAACAAACGGGCTAACGACATAAATGTCTCCAATTAATATTTCTTTGAGAATGAGTGAATTATGCTGAGCTCACTCGGATCGTGTATAGCAGAAAAGTTTTTGGCGAGTATAATGGCATTTCTTTTCATTCCCGTAACACTGCTTTTTTCCAATAATAGCACTAGGCAAACGTCGACTGATATAGCCCCACCCTCTCCTATATATGTAAAATGGCCTTCTTGAAGCCTCCAATTGTATTGCTTAAAATCACTTAACACACCGACAGTTCAAGCAAAATATTCCCAAAATATTTATTATACTTGTGGACATTCGCAAAAACCAACGTTTTACACAAAAAGCCAAGTGACCATGGCCTTTTTTTATGGTTGCGTACCAATTAAGCTATTGGGCCTATTAGAACCAGTAGGCCATAGAGTGTGGAGGTGCTTTAAATAGTTCCTTATGTCCTTTATTAAATAACATTATGATAAAGGTTACAAAATCAATTTGAAGATCGTTCACTCTGCGCGAAGTGTGAAACCCAAGGTTGAGGTCTGCTTAGCTGTTCGACCTATTGAATCTTGCTGTCGAGCTCTGAATGCTGAAGACTGACGAATTACTATAATTCATATAAAACATAGTTTTTCATATCGATTCCCTAGTGACTTTTCTACCTAATCTATCCATTTATTATCAATATTCCCTACAGTCTTGTTTCGGATGAAAATAGATGGATCTATTTGGAAGCATTTTAAGTCGAAAGGATTAGAGATAATTCTGTATACGATCTGTTTTACGGTGAATAGGTTTATTCCAATATTTCTCTCATTTTCGTAGCGCAGGAGTGATATGCTTTTGCAAATTCAGCTTATCTATAACAAAACACGGCAGAGCTTCTGCGAAGGATCACGAGTTCCCATTTGGAGATCGGCAGCGACCCTCTATTAGATAGGCCTTATTTGACGGTAGTCAATGGCGAACGGAAATAAGACTCAGTTGACGACCTCGCAAAAGCGTTTGCCCGCACTGATTTGATTCAAAAGAAAAAGTTAGCATGGTATTTCGTCTTATCGCATCTTATAGCACCGGAGCATCAACAACTAGATGATGGAATGGACATTAGAATTTGGGTAATCAAGAGCAACTATGTTAGTCTAAACAATTTAAAAGTCAGTTTCTCTGCGACAACATTTTACAAATAATAATTACTGAATAAGTATATCATTTTTGTAATAATGATATTCTTAGCATTTACTGTTACAAGTTACATCGTATTGTGCAAAGCCCTAGTGACAGCAACTGTTTTAAATAGTCACTCGATTTAGACGTAAAACGGCCGAAAAGCTATTCAATAAATTTCTCAAATCCGTACGCAGTTACGGTGTACAGGTATCTATCACTGAGATAAAACAACTTTCGCACCTTCTACGCATCCGCGTGTGTGGCTACGCGTCCTTGCAGCTCATCCGCTATAATGAACATAGAAACAGGTCAATGAACATTATTATTATTATTAAATAGGAATGCTATGCATTAAATGTTTGGTCACTATCGAACTATAATCTAGCTCGTACTCCTAAGGCTTGATTAGATTAGTTCTAGATATTTCTCATAATATCCGGTCATCATTGCGCCCCCAATTTTACCCCATCATTTATCCTATAGATTATGCACCGAGTTAATGTTTACCATCTAAGTCTTAAAGGGAATATCACCTCTGCCATTCACAATGTGGTTTGATGACGAATTAAAAAATATACTTCGGGCTTACCGATTTGTCGATGTGCCTGAGAGCTCTTAAAACAGAAAATTGGTGTAAACTTAAAAGTCTTTCAAAAATAGGCTTTATTATAGCTGTAATAGTAAAGAAAATCTCATCGAAAACACTTTCTCAGTGCCATAATATCAAAAACATAATGTCAAAAAAAAACTAAACACGGAAAATCGGTTGAAATTAACCTTTTTCGTAAGGTTTCCAAAAGCAAATGGTATTAAATTTTATCTTACTCAAGTTTACTTATTCCACCTAAACATCCTAAACTGATAATTTTCGATTTCGAGATAGCTTACACATTATATTAAAAAATATGCGCTCCCATAGATTAGCTTGAAACAATCTCCATGGGATAGAAAATCAAATCTAAAATACTAGTAAATATGATGTTCCTTCTCTATGTAATCTTCTCCAGATGAAAATTATATTTTACCGCTGTATAGTACATCTACATAAACTTGTATTTTTTCTAATTCGAACTAAGTATCTGATGCTAGTTGCCTCACAGGTTAAAAAATCAGTTTAAACCTTTCGCGCGCTACAGTTAGCAAATATTTTTTGACATTGATTAGAACGTCGCGCGTTTCGCCGGCCTTAATGCGTTCAGTCGCAGTGTTTACAAATAGAAATCGTACGACTTTTTCTTGACGCTGGTTGGCCGTTGCTCGGTGTGCTGCTACACTATTTCCGATACCGCTCTTATGTAACATTGCGTGTGGCAAAGACTAGTGTCGAATGCGGGAGATATAAGTATGTTTGTGGAGTGATCGCTGGTAGTGAGGCGCGACGCCATGGAGCAGTGGCCGCTTACAACAACTTCTGAGAGCCAAGGCATATCCCTCGATGAACTCGACCTTCTGTCGGAGATCAACAGTGATCTGCTTAACGACCCTGCGCTACTGAACCTTGGAGGAATCAAGGAAGAAGACTTCACCTTCAATCTAGACTTAGAGACACCTCAAACAGCCACCTCGCAGGTTCAGCCTCAGACTGCTGGGCCAACATCTTCCCAGCAACCAACTCAATTACAATCAACGCCATTGGACAATGGGTTGCCTACCCAACTACCTTCAACGGGGCCTTTATCAACACCAGTTAATGTGTTAAGCGCACAGAACCCTCCGGTGAATAGTGTAGTGCTTCCAGCCCGACCTTCCCAAGTTCAACAGGCGGCAGCTAACCTGCCACCAGTCAAACAAGTACAGGTGACAGTTGCTGGAGTGTCATCCGCCAATTCCACAAGTAGCAATAATGCCCAGTTTATTCCGCATTTCGCTACTGCTAATGGAGCTAATCAGCAAATATTGCGGGCGCAGCAAGTGCCACCCACTACAACCATCGTTGGTTCAACCTCCGCGCAAACAGCGCAGACACAACTGGGTCAACAGAAAATACTGGTGCACCATATTCCTCATTTTGGAGGAGTTTCGCCAAATATTGTAGTGAATACCACTTCAACAAATCATAAGTCGTTATCAGTCACTGATCTGCTACGTATTAACCCGGAACAAAAGGTGCAACTGGTGATCAAGAAATCCGGCGAAATTGTTTCACCACCGAATGTGGTCAATATCCCTTTAGTTCTCGAAGGTGATCATATGACACTGGGGCAACTGAATGTCAGCCAATCTCCTCCACCACCCGAACGAAAAAATTCACACAATGCAATCGAGCGGCGCTACCGATCGTCGATTAATGACAAAATCGTTGAACTCAAGGACATTGTTGCCGGTACTGAAGCGAAATTGAACAAAAGTGCTGTTCTCCGAAAAGCTATAGACTATATTCGGTTTCTGCAAAATGCAAATACACGACTTAAAAAGGAAAATGCTGCCTTGCGTTGCGCTTTGCAACAGAGCAGTCAGTCCGTTCCGTGTGTTGATATGCCAACTGTAAATGGTGGTAAACTTATCAACGTAGCCGCCACCCCACCACCCAGCGACCCCTCGATGATCGATTCAAGCTCAGAGCCTTCATCACCGCTTTCCCCGCAAGCCGTGTCTGCATATACGAACTCAGGCATGCGCGACATGACCCGTGTGTGCCTGTGCATATTTGGACTATGTATGTTTGCTCTGAATCCAATGAATCTAGTCTTGCGTGGTGCATCCTCAGCTATCGACCCGTGGAAGGGTGGCCGCGCCATTCTATCGGATAAAGACGACGAGCCTTCTTGGTGGCCTGGAGTTTTTTTCAGCCCCTATGTTATTTGGACTGTCAACTTCCTTTTATTATTATTGTGCCTTGGCGACGTTATTCTCTTTGGTGATCCAGTCATGTCACCCGAGCAAGAACGAAAATTCTGGATATTTAAAAAGCAGGCCCATTTTGATCTGACGAATCAAAACTATGAGGCGGCATACAATAATTTTGAGATGTGTCTTGAAACGCTAGTCGGCGCACCAACTGCGGTACCTCGATCAATACTTCAAACATGGACATGTCTCATTTGGCAAATGCTGCGACAACTTATGCATCGTATCTATATCGGAAAGTTCCTTTTTAGATTTAGCAGGAAACGTTACGCGAAGAAAATTGAGGCGTCTGTGAACCATCTGTCCGAAACATACCACAATCTACATCAGTTACATTTTGTGCTCAACAAGCGTTCTAACTGCCTCGGCCTCTGCTATGCTCTAGCAGCGGTTAACTACGCTGAATTAGGTACCCACTCGACGGAGCATTTGACGGACACGTTCTTGACGTGCGCGCTCAGGCTCATCAAGTGTCTCTTGTCGCGATTCCATTTTCTGGCTCGCTTCATGATCTACCGGGGTCAGCAATCTGCCCCTGGAGGATACGATCACCAATGGATTTTCACCCCAGATGGTAGAGCGTTTTTGTATTATGAATATTGCTTGAGCAGTTAGTCACAAAAGCGTAGGCGCTGTCTTCTTTTTCTATGATTTGGTGGCAACGGCGCAGAATAGAATTACTAACCATGCTTCTTGCGACCACACTATTTTTTCTATGCCGTTCTACTTAGGAAGCGTGGGTAGATGTTAACTCTTATTACAGGAGAGTTTTACTGGCCTAGGTCCAAAGTCTAAGAACTATATTTGGGTGATGACAGAGGGAGAAGGTAATTTCAAATTAATTTTGTTTAACAAGCTAGTGTTATTTCTAAATGCTATTTTATTGACTTTATCGTTTCATAAGTAAAACTAACAAAAGTATCAAATTAAGTATGACCTATTTACCACATTTATTATATTCCTTTTTATTAGAAATGTAACCAAGCGCACCGTATATTCTTTGTAATGCTTTTCATCCATCTAAATAAACTGAAATTTCAGGCTATCGCTTCGTCACGGGCCATCTATCACTGAACCATTGTCCTCGTACATTGACGAACTCGCTCGAACAGAAGATGGTCGAACCTCTGGATCTCGTGGCTCAGCAGTATCGCTGGTTTCTTCTTGAAAGGGCCATTGAGAGCTTGAGCCCCCAAACACTGGCAGCGGCTAAAGGCCGTGACGGTGGCAGGCGTGCCGCTACCGATCGTTGCCTTGCCCTACTTGCCGAGCTGGAAAGGTGCCGCCAACGACGTTCGTTTGTGTTCGGATACAACTGGGACAGCAACTGCGTCGGGGACACCTCTACCTGGTGGAAAGAGATGCTAAGGGCTGCCATCCTCTGGGAACGGGGACAATCTAAGGGTGAGACGGCGCAACAACTATTTCTAATTGGGAATTTATGCTGCGCTACTGTGCACGTAAGGCTTAGAATTCATTGTGTCCGTTAATGTTTATCAGTTCAAGCGTCTGGCCAGCAAACAACATCTTCCTATATGACGGGGCATTTATTACCTTTTTAATCGTCAGTTTTCGAAACACGCTTTTTACAATTAAAATTATTGTGTTTCTCTTATGAAGTATTTCTCTTACTACCTGTAAAATCATCTCTTTGCCTCCAACGCTTATTTGGCCACATATTCTTGCCAAAAATAGTGGCCCCATTTATTGGTATAATCCATAGACATTGCAAGCGTCGTATGTTACTTTTCCTTAATCGAACATGCATATAGCCGATATAACTCCCAACTATTTTGAAGATTCGAATAACAATGTTTTGCAGACATCAACTACGTGGTAATCGAGCACATGCCAGCCGAGTTATGGGAAAGCGAAGCACATCCGTTGGCTCGCACGTTACTCAGTTCTTTCCAGGTAATGGTGAACATAGTTCGAGAGCCCTGACAACGAGAAATGATAGCAACAACGATGAGTTGATAAAACAGAGTATCTAGAGGAAACTCCTAGCACTATGTTTGATACGACGTATTAACCAAGGAAGAGTGCCAGTGTTTGAGTATCCAGCAGACCCACATTTTGTTTGTGTATCAAATAAAACGTGTCATTACGACAGTGTTTTTCACGTGTGTACTTGACTCTATTTCGTTATGGCTGTGCATATGAGACTACGTTCGCGGTAGTTTACGTTGTTATGTTTCTCCTGTTATTTCCAAAAAGTGCATTTTGTGGCCTCTCGAAATTACCGGCATACGTGTATTTTCTAAATACCTTGTTTCTATTGGGTTGACACTGGAATCTTCACTATCTATAACACAGGCGCGACGTTGCTACCTGGATGGAAGCTTCAAGGAGGTTACGGCATTGGAAACGGAATTGGACACGTGTTCACGGCTCATCAAAGACTGCATGTCCTGGACCGAGATGGAGCTTCATGGTGTCACATGTCCACAGGACGTGGCATCTGTTTATGTCTGTCTTTTGATAGCAGTCGAATGGCTTCTACAAACGCGTATTGACCTTTGGGAGGTCTGTATTAATAATAGCAAAACAATAAAACCTTTAACAGAAACGCACAAAATCATCTGCGGATATAGATGAACTAATTATTTTCGTTGCAAATGACTGTATAATCAAGCCGTTTAGCTGAGGGTTAACACTAAGGCTTCTTTTTTCGAAATGACACCTATCGATACGCATGGCTTACTTTTCACTGCTTGAGACTAACATGTATCACCGTATTATATTTGTGCCGGGGCAGGAAAATAAAAACATCGATTTGGTAGGTTTTTGTCGTGATCACCGTCAGCTGCAAGAAGTCCTTAGATATTTCGGCGAGTCGGGCCAGGCTAAAATGCGGCTTTACGAGGGATTGGAGCGTCTTGTAGCTGGAGCCAACCCTGTGGAGACTCATCGCCTGCTCGAGGAATGCGTTCAGAGGCGCCGGAACAAGTATTCCATTATCTGCGCCAACAAAATGGCCGCTGAAAGAGTCAACATAGAAGATGCTCATGGGCTCACATTGGCCTGCAAGTAAGTTACCGTTCAGTTGCTTGTCGTTGATGTCAGGCAGTAAAACAACTTGGCAAATTTTTATGTACAGATCAAGTATTTGCAAAGACTTCCTTCTTTCATATGTATTAACCAAAGTTTATATTTCACTATTTTCCATTGAACAGTGCTCGAATCCACCGGTTTCAAAATCTGATTTGAAATATTTAGTGTTAAATATATATTTTTGCTTTTTATTTGCTCTGACCAGTTTTGACTACCGTTAGCATATGATCTGCATTCCTCTACTAAAATGCTGTTATTTATTACAAGTGATAGTCAAGGTGTCTTTTCTAAAGGAGTATTGGCATCTTAAGCATCTAACATTAAGACCAAGTGGCTGTCGTCACTCGATTTATGGTCCAACTGCTTTGTAGCTTATAGGAAGGGCTTTACTATTTTAGCATAATCTTACATTTTCCCAAAGATGCTGTTTTTCAACCGAAAAAATTTACCCATTTACAAAAAAATAAGCAAAGCTTTTATGGAAGTATTCGATTTTGTTGACACAAATATATTCAAAAATTATTCCCGTCAAAATCTGGGACAAATACATGTTTACATATATTATTATATTCGGTAGTTTTTTTAAATCTATTCGTATTATCAATACATTTAGTTACTCAGACTATCGCTTAGTTATAAGCGATAGTCTGAAAAATGTATTACAGTTATGTAATGAGAATAATAAATCTATTTGAGCAGGCAGAAAATTATTGTTCATTATGGCGGTGTTTCAGGTACCTGGAAAGTATGTTTGAATCGACTGAGTCACGTAATGTTGCCCTCTCCGAGGCCTCCCAGCTGTGGATGCTTCTTGGGAACCAGACGATGGCCCTCCGGTGTCAAAAGCTCATGCATTTTGCCAGCGGCGCTGCCATCGCTGCAGCTCACTGAAAATAGGCTTATCAGCTATTTGACTTTTAATAGGAATTCGAAAGCAAAACAGCCGAAGAAATGGCTGACAGGTAGAAGTTGCTCTTGCGGCTGGCCGACGGAAAAAGCCGCCAACACTGGATCTGGTAATTCAGCTACCATTCTCTTATTGCTTGCTGTCGCCGATGACAGCTGTCAATGAAGGAATTACATCTACATCAGAACGCAACAACGCATCCGGACCAAACCAATCATCCGTCTGTCATCTGAACTAAAATTCCCCGAAAACAATTGCGTTAACAGCACGTTTTGTTCCTATGCCAACCATTTGGTTGTGACTCCAGGACAGTTCTAACAAATCCTGCTGCGTTACATGCATTGGTCGTGTACCTGAAACCGATTAGAACTTACCTTCTGTGCGACCTTACTTTCATCGCAGGGCAAATATCGACAGGAAGCAGCGCAAAAATTATGACCTAATTATGAAAACAATTTCGATATCTTGCCGAATCAAGTTAATGGACGGTATTGTTCTGAAAATTCTATATAATGAAAGAAATATTTTTGTTGCCCTAATCAGACTAGCCATCGTTTCCGAACCCCAACACTCCGTCAATAATTCAGTGTACTTAGTAAATAGGGACTTCTCGTTGATATGCATGTACGCATGGATGAATGTGTATCTGTTAATATATGTGAATTTTGACATTTTTTTTTACATACTACAATATAATGTACGTATTATTCTTTGTCTCTTAATTACTTAAAAGTATATCAATAGTGTGAATATTATACTCACTGATTCAGCTCTACAACGATGAAAAATTGCCACACAGTACCCGTTAAATCGAGCAGCATTAATTAGCAAACTGATACGAAAACGCAGCAGAAAATAACAAAACATTGCAACAACAAAAGCATCACTAAAAGGATGAATAATCAAGGTAGCATTTTTGATTCAATCGTGAAGAATGCAACTGTTTTCTAACAAAGTTGGAAATGGTTGCAGTGGTTGAAAATTCTCAT